CCTCCTCTATCATAGAGGAACAATCCCTGTTACACGCCCATAAGACCCCAAAAACCGAAGCGAAATGATTCCATAAGGCCTAAGCAAACGAGCACTCCGACAAAATATGATCAAGGTCCTCTAACGCAAGTTCGCACATACTGCACCACTATGGGCCCAACACATAAGAGGAATGCCTTTTTATAAGAAATCTGAAACATATGTATTATAGACAATAACTGTATTATAAACAAAAAGAAGAGGAATGTCTTTGAATACCATCTAAGCCTAGGGTCTTAACTCTCCAAAAGAGTTAGAACCCGAGGAAGGCAAGATGGAGGCCACCGAATGCAAGCTCTTATCAAAAAGCACAGGAAGGCTAATCTCCCCACCGAACAATCCCCCAAAAATACATTCCCGAGAGAGCATTTTATAAAGCTATGATTTCCCCTTGTAATAGTTTCAAGCATGAAAAATAGGAAATATCATCACTAAATAGCAACTAGCAAGCTACAACCTGAATATCACACAAGCCTTTTTAGCGGTTTAAAAGCACACTACACACTAATAATCATATAGGGACAAACCTATTAACAAAACTTAAAATAAAATTTGAATTATATGAAGGAAAAAAATGACTACAGAAGCATAAATTAACTTCCCAATACAAAGGTACTAATGCATAAGGATGACACCCACAAATTGAGAAATGGTACAAATACAGGGGTACGGTTAATAAGCAATTGCAAGTTGAAACCAAGAAATAGCCATCCTCATAATGCTACCATACCAAGAAACTGCAGCAAAATTTAAATGGAAGCCATGTGATTAAGGACCAACATGCTAAACATCTATCAAATATAGTGATCCAACCCAAGTCCTCGTCAGTAGAAAGAATTAAAGGTAATCAAAGTTGATATCAAAACTTCAACCAAAAACAGTGAAAGACATGGTGCAGGTGCAAGAATATGAAATAAGAAGTAAAAAACAGTTAATCGAACAACTGCAACTAAAACAAATGGAGTATGGGTTAAATGTAAATTTTCCATTCGTAAAACCTATGAACCTGGAATCTGAAGCCAGCATTCTCCCAATTTGACTCCTTGAATTTCCAGGATTGGAAAGCTGAATATGTGTTATAGGGAGAAACCTATGCCAACAAAATAAGGAAATTAGCCTGGTCTTCTGGAAATAGCCTCACTGAAACTGCTGTAAGTCCAATAATATGTTTTCATAACAGAGTTAAAAAGTATATGTAAAAATAATAATATTAATAAATCATAGATAACCTGTGCATTTCATTGCAAAATGTCAAAAATGAAAGCTTTCCAGAATCAGAGATTACAATGAGAAGATCCTTACCCAGCATCTGAAAGAAAAGGCACATGTTACTGTAGTCATCATATATACTCTATGAATAATATATTATTTCCTATGACACGGCTTCAACTCTAACAAGTCCATTAAATTCTTTTTCAAAAAAAAAAAAAAACAAGTCCATTAAATTGAACATGTAGCAACAGTGCACTCTAAAGTACTCAATATGCACGAGTTCTTATATTATCAGCTAAATTTTAGAGAGCGGACCAACCGTCCTCTGTGAATCTCTCAATGCCTACATCAATAAAATCTAACCTGTGTGTATGATGGGCGGAACCTCTCATTCCATGGTAGGATGGCCATATCTTTAATGGTGCCAAATACAGCCTGCTCACATACAGATTGTACAACCCCATCTTCGCCTATTGCAACCAACTCTATCGATGTCTCCTGAATAAAATTTCACCAAGATATTGCTATTAGATGCATCAAAGGTTAAGGATGTGCTTAGTAATCTAAATAATGAAAATTAAATAGCCGACAGGAAATTCAGTGTAAATAACTCTTCTGCTTTCTCAAAATCACCGAAGAAGTTTCTACCACCAACAGTACGTTAGGATATGTTGCTCGAACTACTTTTCTTACAAGACATAATACAAGAAAGGTATTAATAAACAATTATGCCTATTCATTCAGAAAATCAAGTGGTAATAAAAATGTCAATATCTTATACAACAGCAGGTTATGGATGCAACCACAGTACTCATCAATCATCTTTAGCCCGGAAGGTTCCTTTCTCATGGTGGCTTTCCATGTAGGGAGAAACCCCAACGTCACAGTACTCCTTCTATTGCATAAACACAAATTCTTGTATAGTCATTCTAATGAAAATAAAATTTATGCTGACCTCTTAACATGCGGATTTTTCTAGCAATAAACCTTACCATACAGATTCAAGATGAAATATAAAGTCTAACTTCCCTCTAGATCACAGATGAGGCAAAAAGCAACAAGCAGGATGCCAAAGCTCCACAATTTTATTTTATTATAAAAATTCAAGTCCTGTAAACGATAAACCTACATCCCAACATTAAAATACACACACCAACCCACTGAGCGCCCCCTCAAAACGGGAAATGCGTCTGTTTCCTAAAGCAAAGAACAACCCTCTTGTTCCACAACTTGCATAAGGGAAAAGAACCTCACGCCACACCTATGTACTGCCTATCCCAGAAGGAAGTTAACTAATAACGAGGGGAAACGAGCTTCAGTCCAATTGAAGTACAGAACAGCTGATTGCCACCTGATCGCAAAGTAACCAACGCCGACTAATCAAGCACATCGAAACACTTCACGAAGGAAGAGTTCATCAAATTTGAGCAGGTAAAAGAAGAGCAGAGCACTAACCTTGCCAAAGACGACATCGAGGGAGGTCGGAGAGCGTATGTGGCCGTAGAGGACCTGGAGGACGATGCTGCCTCTGAGAACGCACTTAGCCAAGTAATAGGTTGAAGTAGAAGTTGAAGACGAAGATCGCGACTTCGTGGACGAACATTCCTCCTCCGAAACCGCCATCAGCTAGTAACACATTGAGACTCGGAGGCTAGGGTTCTTCTCGATTCACGAACAGGGAGAACAAATCATCAAGAACTGGATAAAGATCAGCAACCCAAGAGTGTGCTTGAAGAGGGCGAGAGAGAGAGATTTTGCAGAGAAGAGAGAGAGAGAGAGAGCATATGATTATTCCATCTGGTAGAAGTAGAATCATGGGAGGGGTAAGTGTCCACGGGCCCACATCATTATACTCCTGCCTCCCCCTATCGTTTTTAATGTTTAATTTAAATATTATGTTCCAGTCTTCAATTTCCAAAATTTTCAATTTCGCTCTTCTACTTTTATTTATTTTTCAATTTTGTACTTTCTAAATGTCTTATGTTATCGCTCAATTTAGTCCATATTTATAAAATTTATACATTAATAAAAGAATTTAATGCAAATTTATTGCTACAATTCAAAAAATCTAATAAATAAAATGTCGTTCTAAAATTATGAACCAAAAAAATAAATACCAAGTAAAAATATCAAAATAGTATTTAAATCATTAATTTTTTTCAACATTTTAAATTAATTTTTAACTAAAGGTGGGATGAGATTTAATTGATAAACATATTTATATATAATTCAAATGACTATACGAGGAAGTGATATTTATATTTTTGTAGTACCGAAAATCTATTTTTGGTGGACTCTTCGACGACTCGAGATTCTCAACTCGTTTTGTTTTATTTTTAAATTAAATATTTAAGCGTACTTTGAGGACAGCAACAAATACGAGTGAAAAGACCGTTTTTACTCTTATTGTACGAACCAATTTTGAATTTAAACTTTACTAGGAGCTGTTTATATGTATTATTTCAAATACTTTCAATTATTTAGACTATAGAAATTGTTTAGAAATAAAAATAGTTTCCTTATTCTTGTTAATTTATTCTTCACAACATTTTTAAATTATATTATACTTCTAAAGATTATCATTACCTATTGATTAGGTAGAAACAACTTTATAGAAAAAAATATATATATATTTTTAAAAATCAATTTTTCTCAATTTTGAAGATAGAATGCAAAGATTCAAACCTCTAATCCACCTCTACCATACACCAACAGACATTTTGTCCGTGTCAATTTTGAAGATCACAGAATTAATTAATAAATAAATTATTGCGTTACGTATGTGACTAAAAAATTAACTAAACCCAAATTTTATAATGACATGACAAAAAGTTATTGATTTTATACATTTTATTTTTACTATAAATAGTTAGTTAAACCAAGCACCAATAATTAAGAGTATATTCTCCACATCAACAGTACCTCAAAGAAAAAAAGTTCATTCTACGACATAGCAATTTCTCCAAGTCTCGTCGGTCACTATGCCCAACCTGTGAACTAAAGTTTATAAAGTAGTACAATCAATCAATTAAAATCTACATATTAACAATTTGCTCAGGTAATCACAGGGTCCCTACTGGATCTTGCATAAATTGACAGAGACATAGTACCTAAGATTTATGGGTTGTGAAGATGGTAGCCTATACGTGTCGACGTTGGAGGCCACAATGTAAGCATAACAATCGACCAATGCATTCGATAGCTGCACCATGGTTTACCTACATCTTCAGCGCGAAACATTTGGCAAGGAAAAAGATTTACTCTTTCTGAATTAGACACTGATGAAAAGCAAGCACTAGTGTCCATCCAAAGTTTCGAGGGACTCCATGAATAGTCTCTGTGCTTCTTCTCTTCTCCTGGAAGGTAAAAATTATATCAACTATGGAAGTAGTGTTAAGTGAGACGAGACCCATATTTTAAAAGGTAGCAAATAATCAAATGAGAGGATACAGAACATGAAGAAGTATTGGGCGCAAAATTTTGCAATAGCACATCCTTATCTCAACCTAATAGATTTATACTACCAAGAATAAGATCAAACAAAACATTGATTAATGATAAAGGGTCAGAAATCCAAATTTTTGGGGTTCCATAATATTTTCCTACGAGGCTAAGACATTATATAATTCCACCGAAAGCGGTGTGGGGAAAAGACTGCTGATTGGGTAAGTTCAATCACATTCATACGTGTAATATATTCCCCTGGAACCTCTATTGGCATACCTTTTTATATCCTCAACAGCTTGTCTGCGACGATCTATCTGAAGTTCTAGTATGTGAATCAGTGTTGCTCTTGCCTACAAGGAAAAATAAACACCATAATGAAACTATTTCAATGACACAGATACATCATATTTAAACATGCAAAAATATCTCACCTGATGCGGACGCAATGAATTGAGCAGGTGATGTAAGTTCTTGAATATTAGGGAGATTTCTTCCACCCTCCTTGCATATTGCGATGGCCTCTCAACAAGAATATCAGCAAGCTCCAGGATGTGAAGCTGCAGTTCCCTATTGAGAGATCTCAATTCCTTCTTAAAATCTGAACAAGAACCATGGATAATAGTGTCAGCTAAAAGAGTTTATTCAAGGGAAGAGCTGCAGGGGAGAAACTAGAAAGTTACTCCAAGTATTCAATTCGAGTTCACTGAGAAAGTTGTGGTTACAGGTGAAGAGACTCTTTTGTTTTACACTGGACAGGATTTTTAATCTATAAAGAACATGACAGCCACTAGCACTGCCTATGCATTTTCACGGCAAGAACAAATTTCGAAGATTCAATTACTTACACAACAGAATAGGAATATCCCAAACCTCTTCAGTCAAATGAATGTCAATACTTAGCCATCACAGTTGTGCATGTGCTCAGAGGCTAAATACAAATTACCGGCAGTCCTAGGTTTAATTGCAAAGCCAAAGATTTGTGGTTAAAAGGAAAAAGGAAGATAGTAAGAGGATGTGTATAGGTGTGTGTGAGTGCATACATGTACATGTGTCCTCTCTCGTAGGTGTGTAATTTAATTTGGTGGATAGACTAACTTCACTGCTCTAGTCGGTTATCTTCGCCAAAGGTTCTTTTAACGATTATTTACTTTCAGCATTTACCAATTGCAGGTTTTCTCTGGTAATCCTCCTTGGCCGTTCATGGATGGATTGTAAATCCTCCCTTCACCTCAGCATCCCTCCTCTTTAATCAATACATGTATTTTTCTTACCCCAAACAAAAAATAGAGACCATGGACCTTAGAAATCAAACGAATAAATGCTCAAGCATGAAACTTTAATTTATTCAAGAGAATAATAGTGATTCCTATCAAAGAGAAAACCATTGATGAAGAACAAATTCTTACACAAATTTAGAAGGACGGGTAAATAAACTTACTTACCAACATTTGGTCCTCTAGGGTAAAGCTGGCGTACTCCTTGCTCTTCCAAGCTTGGAAGCACGTCATCAGTCTGAAATCACAATAGAACAATCAATAAACGAAATCAAATCACAGTGTTTATCATGACCCTATCTCAATTACCAACCCGATCAAAACGTATAAAGAATGAACTCCCAATGTGAGAAAATATGAAGGATTTCGGAAGCAGAAACCAACAACTTCAGAACTTAAAACCCTAAAATCATTCTGTCTTATGACTATCAAATTAAAGATAAAAAAGTGCAACTAAACTCAAACTGCTAAAAAAACTCAACGAATATGTGAAATCAAAATCGAAATTAAACACACAAGTGTCATAGCGATATGCTTCCAGAGGAATGGAAAAGGAATCGAGAAGAAGTCGCACAGTGTAATTGCTGCCAAAGCACGCGTAGGTCCCCTCGATGGGCGGGGGAGGCTCCGGCGCCGATTTTGGATTCTGCAAGTAATCTTTGTAGAGCCTGTAAAATGGAGGTGGTGGAGGATACGTAGCTGTCGCCATAGCTAAAGCTTAAACCCAAATCTGAAAAATAGAGAAAACCCTAGTCTCTCTCTCTCCCTCTGTTCAAAATTCAAACGCCCCAGCTAACTCACGAACTCTCCGGCAACCCCCCTCCTCCGACACCGCAAAGGTAAAAGTAGTAGCACACTCCTGGCGACGACAGACACGATGATCGAACTCCTGACGGCGGCGCGACGTATAGCAGGTCAGGGCATCACCTCGCGGCGGTGCAGGACACTCCTCAGGTGAACCCACGCAAAATCAGATCCAAGCGTCGGCGAGTCCGCACGGCGATTACCACGAATTCAGATCGGAGAGAGGCGGAGAGAGGCGGAGAGAAGCGGAGGAGAGAGTCTGAAACAGATTTTGGTTTTTTTTTTTTTCGTTTTTTAGCAATTGTGACTTGTGGGTTGTCAAATGGGCTGGTGGGCTTGAGTTTAATTTTATATGAAGAGGGAAATGCGATCGGGCTGGGCTGCATTGATGGGGTTGGGTTGGTAATTAATAAATCAGCCTTTATAATTGGTTCGGGTCGATTTTTTAATCGGTTTGAATAAGTCCATCGACGCGCACGGATTCTATTTTTCTCTCGAACATAATTTTAATACGACATTTCACTCACTAAATTTCTAAAAACATAGTCGCAAATATGTATTAAAAGATTTTTATTATGAAGTTGAATTTTGCAAATACGGATAAGTTTGTCACTTTTTAAAACTACGTGAATTCAAATGGACAATATCATAATACAATAACTATATGCACACAAATTTAAATTACCAATAAACATTTTAAAAGTACAGAGACGAAATAGTATTTAAATCAAACACTTATTATTTATCTTTGCAAATCTGTAGCTATTTAGTTTTTCTTTTTTACTTTCTTTTTTTTTTTTGAGTTCGTCGAAAATTGATGGATGAAAATTTGAACATCTTATCTGGTAGAATATTACTTTATATTTTAAACAATTGAGATATACTTAGTTAAGTATGGACGTGATTACTATAGTGGAAATAAGCATGCATGTTTTGATTGGTTGTTGATCAACTATTGCGTTGCGGGACAAAACATGTTTTTTTTTTTTGGAAGCATGACAAAACATGTTCATACTTGAGAATCATCATAACCAAATTAAGCCATTTGCTTTCTTCAATTGCTTGAGCAAAAGAATCACCTTAATCAAAATTTTGTGGTAATAGATGTGAGGCATAGATTTACATTTATATTATAGTTGGTTTAAAATGTCTCAGGGTCGACATAAATGGAGTCAAATAACAATACTACGCCTTAAAATGATATTTTTATATAAACAATTATCACAATTAACACGTCTTATAATGATATTCACAATAGCTTGAACGTCAGAAAATTAATTTAAATTATTTACTTAAACAAAGCTATAAGTAAATAATTTAAATTAATTTATTTGTCACCAAAATCGAAATTCTCTATCACTCATCTAAAGTTCCAACTTTAACCCCAAATAAATAACGTTGGCGTGCACAATATCTATATTGTCATTTGTCATTTAAAATTTGATTTAAATCGAATATGTGTTAGCAAAAATATTGAAAGATAAAGAGAAATAAAAAAAATATTGAAAGATAAAGAGAAATAAAAGGAAAACAAAGAGATAAAGAACTAAGAAGGTCAAAACAACGGCTATGCTTTACTATATATATATATATAATAGCTTTGTTACTTTTTATTTCTTGTACTATCATTATTTTGCAGTACTTACTTGTCATGATGTCATGATGTAAGCAACGTGAGACAAGTAGTTTAGGCTCTTTTGACGACTGACATTCTTTGACTTGGAGAGGAGAACTCCTTTAAGTTGACATATTCAATAATAATTAATAGATTAGTTGATTTAATCGATTAGGTTATACTCAAATTGACATCTCATCTATTATATTTTATTTCATGCTATGCAAGTTTTTTAAATAAACTTTATACGTCTAATGAACATTAGAAGAATGATGATATGAAAATGCAAAATTAATATTCTTGGTATATGGTATTTTTAACAAAACGAGTCTATTTAAACCACCATTTTGGTTTGGAATTATATTTTGACAGTAATCTTTAAGTTAAAGAAAAGTTAGGAAAGGAAATTTATATCTCCTCCCTCCGCACGTGACGGGTTGGGCTCCAAATATTGTCGTGCATGCGCACGTGCGCTCAGATCCAACCCTCACTTTGATGCCAATACGGTGAGTTTTGGTCTTTCTTTTGGCTCATCGCATACAATGTCATGTACTTTATAAACTCTTGCCTTTTTTTGGTACAAAATACAAAACCTTAAAAACTCTTAATTCTCCTTTTAAACATCCTAAGAAAAATTTTTAATACTACGAAAATATAAAAAAAAAATGGCCTCACATAAATTTTAATATACTGCTAATATATATGACAAGCAGTAAATAGAAAGAAGTATGCTAATCTCATGTTATCTAAAATTTTTCTCTAATTCTTATGTGTCACGTGCAACTATGTATTATTGCGATTTAAAAAGAAAAAAATAATAAATCTTTCAAATCTTTTAGTAAACAATTAAGTATTATCTATTTTACCTCATATTATTGAGATTTAAAAAGAAACAAAAAATAATAAATTTTTCAAATATTTTAGCACCTACAAACCACTAATTAAGTATTATCTATTTTACTTAGATAAAATCTATATGGATCGATAAGACCTATCTACTCTATTCTCATTTTATTTTCCTTCGCAAATAATTTTTTATTTACTTTTAATTTTTTCTATTTTAATTCATGTACGATAGATTTTGTTCGTTTTGATTACCCTGCTTTAAAATTGTCATTTTTAGTTTTTATACTTTTAAAAAGTGGTTATTTTGATAATTTATTTTTTCATTATCATTTATTTATTTCGATCATAATTTTAGCGCATCACTATACCTAATAATTTGTTGAAATATTTTTGTTGCTTTGAACAAAATGGTTATCTTGTAACGAAAATGAAGCGAACAAAATAATGGAAGCAAGAAAGAACCGGTAGGAAGGAAGAATTTCTATTCATTGAATTGAGAATTGTTACAAATATTTATAAGAAAAGTAATAATGAACCACTAACCCCAACTTAGGTCACTACTCGACTAAGTCACTAAGTCTAGATAGTTTCAAAATTATCCATTCACTCATCTACTACTAAATTAACTTCAAACTATAAAATGAACACTACCAAGCATAACTCCTAAAAATGCGGAAACGCTAATAAATAAACCAACACATGTTTGCACTAATTAATAACTCTATGCGGGGAGAATTTGTATTAGAAGTTTGTAAACCTAAATTAAAGTAGTTACTTATTTAAATCAAGAGATGACCATCTGGCCACACTTTTGTGATCTTCTCAACGTTAATTTTTTTAGAAAGATAAAAGAAAAGTTCAATTATATTATATATTACATAATAGCATTATATTTCCAATGTTCGTCTTTGGTGCATTTAATGTAGCACTCACCTCATTATATTTCCAATGTTTGAGATGTGGTTTTTGTATTTTTTTTGGTATGTTAATCCACATCTCGAACGTGCATGCTAAATCTATTACGCCAAAAACTAACCTTGAAAATATAGTGATATTACTTGATATATAATATAATTAATATTTGTTTTTTCCAAGAAAATCAATGTTGCTATATATGTCAACGACTGCAAATGCACGACCATATCTTGATTTCAAAAAAAAAAAAAAAAATCAGACGTGGCTCCACATGTTTCAAAATTGTGTGGTTGTCTATCTTTTGTTGAGACGATCAAGTGTCAGAATAAAAACATTATATTTTGAATAAGTTTCAACAAATTTTATATGTCTTAAGCTCGTAAATAAATTTGAAAATAAGAACGGTTAGTCTTTGTACATGAATTTCAACTCGTTGAATCACGTATGAAAAATAAAATTTATATTTATCATATAAAATCGGACAACTTTTAAGTTTACTTTATATAAATTAGCTTGGTAAAAAAATAATATTTACAACTTACCCACTATTTTTTTTTCACTTTTCTAGAGTACATAAAATTTTTCACTCTCAATAAAATATATACTCAATCTCCAACCTTTGAACAAGTATTATTTATTTTTAATTTACATACAAATTATAGATAATAAAACTAGTTTTTTTCTTTGTATTCACATTTTTATTTTTTCAATTTTCTAACTAAACTCAAAGGATGAGTTTCGAGTCAAGAATGTACAAGTAAAATTCCAATATTTTGTATACCTTTAATTTTGTTCGTTAAATTTATGTTTTAAGTCTTAAATTTTTCTTTCTATATATAGTAGATTTTACTTGAAATCAATATAGAAAAAAAAAATTACAAACGAAAACAAAAAAAAAATGAGCCATTTATCTCTGAGAAAGAAGAATTGTAATACTAATTTTGACGGATCTATTGCAACAGCTATTGTAGATAATTTTTTATGTCATGACTATTGTAACAATTCGATTGCGTAATTGAATATGCATAAACGAGAATCTTAGATTCTATGTATTTCTCATCTCCATCTCCATTTAGGTGAAAGGGAAAAAAAATTTCTCATCCTCGCCTGTGGAGAATTTAGACGGTGATTCCTCGCCTCAGTTAGACGGATTTCTACGGAGAAAATAGACATCCGAAACACTAGAGAGAAATTAGTAGGAATGGGATAAATAAATAATATCTTATTCAAAAGGTGCAAAGTTGATGCACAGGAACAAATTTACAAAAATAGGTCAAGAAATTATAGATTGGGAGATACGACAATGGAATCGGGTTGGATTGTTCAGAATATAATTAATTGTTTATTTAAAATATCATCGAGCGGCGAAATCGTATATTTCGATATAATTACGGACATTCCCTTCCCGCGAATCTCGTTAATGATTTATTTTTTCTTTTTCCTCGATTGAAATGAAATTAAACTTAGGAGTTACGGAATAGAGGTAAACAGGAGAAGAAGGTAGACAAATCTGAGCCGTCATCTTTTAAAATCGTTTTGGTAGTTTGATTTGGAAAGAAAACGAAGAGATTTAAAGTCAAATCACTAATTTTAGGTGTCAAATAGAATTCATTTGGAAAGATTTGAAATTAAGAGATAACAAGTTTATAATTCACCGGAGCGAGCATAACTCATTGACATAATTTCCAGTCAAGAGGCTGTGAGTTCGATTCTCTACCTCTACACGTTAATTTTTGACTTTTTCTACTCGAAATTTCAAGTGTACATACTACCGTTGTTTTCTTTTTTGTCACATATTTTTGGATCACCATCCAATCTCAATCTAAGTTGGTTTTCCATTTTGCTTGATGTTTTGCTTTTATTTCAATTTTCATAACACTAATTTTAATCAAAAGAATCTCGGTTCCAAATAGAA